AGAGAGAGAGAATGAATGAATGAATGAATGAATGAATATTGCAGAGAGCCATTGAGGAAGTCTCCAGACATTCTTCTCTGGCTTCCTCATGTGTGTGAAAGGGCATGCTTGCGTGTGTGCGCATTTCCTAGAAGTACAGTGATTCCAGGATACAGTAGGATGAAGTCATCGTAGTTTGAATTCGAAAATTCACCTTAGTTTTCCTAAGAAGGAAATGGACTTCGGTACTTTGTAGGACAGAACATATTTTGCTTAATATGTCACATGAGAGTAAGAAAGGTTGATATTTCTTTATAGCTATTCTTTTAAAAAAAGAATAATTTTAACTTCTGTAAGTTTTCTAGAGTAGTTTAACTAAGGTCCTTTCATTTGAAATTTTCAAGACCCCTGTATTGAAAACTCAAGAGAAAATGGTTGGCTGTTGGATTTTCACTTCTGGTCCAGTCTCGCTGAGTGCCAAAATTGAAAGAAAGGGCTACTGTAATGGTAAGCAGAATGTTTGAAAGTCCAGTGGAAAGAGTCATAGCTAATTTCAGTGATTTGAAACAGTGTATTTTTGTAATATATGTACAGTGTGATTTAAAATGTGAATAACATTTTGTTTTTAATGTAACTCATTGACATCTACATATTGTTAAATGGATATATAATAGGCCTTAATCAAAATCATATTTCTGACTTTCATATTGTGATATTAGTAATGGAATGAGACTCAGAGGAGTGAGAAATGCTGGCAGCTTATTGTAATGTTACAGTGAAGGCCTGGAGTTGTTGGGGTAATAGGGTGCAGATGTGTAATGTGGCGCTAACTTGCCTGCTCCATTGTTTGTGTCTCAACACTGATTCCTTAAAAGCAAAGGTATTGCTCTCCTTTTGGAGAGATTTTCATTCAGTAGGCACTAGAGAGGTTGTTAGTGAGCTTCCATATGTAGCATAGTACTGAACCACTTGTTTATATGTCTTGTCTTAATTTATATAAATGCCAGTCATTTACATATCTTGAGAATTGTTAATGTAATCTTTTTCACATCGGGAAAGTGAATAACAGAATAGGCAGAAAATATCTCCCACCTTCTGCAATGAACTTCCATTCCTCCCACAAAGATTTCCAATAGAAACTTCTCACCAGGGCTTCTGGGTGTGTTAAAGGAGTGTTGGGCTATTGTGCTGGTCATTGGCAATGGCCCCATCCCATTTATATGAAAATTTTTGAAAATTCTCTGAATCTATCCTGTTTCTGTTCTCTTTTTAGGAGAAGCTATTCCCATCTATGCAGAAATAGAGAACTGTTCTTCTCGTTTGATTGTTCCTAAGGCAGCTATATTTCAAACCCAGACGTATTTGGCCAGTGGAAAGACAAAGACAGTCCGTCACATGGTTGCCAATGTGCGAGGAAACCACATTGCTTCTGGGAGTACAGACACATGGAATGGGAAGACACTTAAAATTCCACCTGTTACTCCATCCATCCTGGACTGCTGCATTATCAGAGTGGACTATTCCTTAGCTGTAAGCAGACCGTCCTGCAAAAATAAAAATGCAAGAACAGAGCAACAAGACATGTTACTGCAAACATTCCTAGTTACTACTTAGGAAAATGTCAGCATTACTACCCTGTGTGCACTATACGATGATTGACCTTTACTTTTACCAAAACTCTATCCCTTCCCCGGGGAATTTGATGAAATAACATTAAAAGAACTGAGTTGCTTCAAGGAATGTTGTTACACTGAAGGCATAGGTTCATTTTCTAGAATTATTACAAGCCATGCTAACTTAAATTGATGCATGCAAAGGCCACAGTTCCCTGTCGCAAGGTTTTCCTGGTAGGCAGTGAACTCTTCATTTTGTTTGGTCAGGACAATTTACATTTGTAATGGGAATGGGATGATAGATGAAAAAGGCATTTGTTTCTGTGAGAACGGAAGTTGGATCAGGCTGGTTCCCATGAGATTCACCCTGTTCTGTGGCTTCCCCTCCCCTTCTTTACCTGTTAGGTATATATTCACATTCCCGGTGCTAAAAAGTTGATGTTGGAGCTGCCATTAGTGATCGGTACAATTCCATACAGCGGCTTCAGCAGTCGGAACTGCAGTGTTGCCAGCCAGTTCAGTATGGACATGAGCTGGTTGGCACTGACCTTGCCAGAGCAACCTGAAGGTAAACTGTGTTGAAGATCTCTCCCAATGAAGTTTTACATAGAAGTTAGCATGTATACAAGAGTAATTGCACACATGTCAGCTGTTACCATTACCACCACTGAATCAGCATCTCATGGTGAATCAGCATCTCATGACTGTGACCAACACCTGACAAGAAGACACTTAAGAAAGAAGGGTTTGAACTGGGTATGGTGCCACAGACTTTAATCCCAGCACTGGTGAGGGAGAGGCAGGCAGATCTCTGTAAGAACGAGGCCAGCCTGGTCAAGTTGCAGGCCAGCTCTGGTGCTACAGGGAGACCCTGTCTCAACACCCATGCCCCCAAAGAGGGGTTTATTTTGGTTTATAGTTGGAGGGCACTTAATAGTGTTGAAAACATAGCAGTATAGTATGAGTAGTTCTAGCTGTGGTGGCAGGACTATGAGGCAGCTGATCATATAATATCCACACTCAGAATGCTGGTTCTCTTCTCTCTCTCTCTCTCTCTCTCTCTCTCTCTCTCTCTCTCTCTCTCTCTCTCTCTCTCTCTCTCTCTCTCTCTCTCTCTCTCTCTCTCTCTCTCTCTCTCTCTCTCTCTCTCTCTCTCTCTCTCTCTCTCTCTCTCTCTCTCTCTCTCTCTCTCTCTCTCTCTCTCTCCCTCTCTCCCTCTCTCTCCCTCTCCCCACCCCTCTCTCCTGGGACCCTAGCCCAGAGAATGGATCTACTCACATTCAAGGTGTTTGTGTTTGTGTCTGTCTGTGTTTCTTGAGTCTAGGACCCTAGCCCAAGGAATGGTACTGCATTTAGGGTCTTGGTCTCTCTCTCTCTCTCTCTCTCTCTCTCTCTCTCTCTCTCTCTGTGTGTGTGTGTGTGTCCTGTCTCTGTCTCTCTGGAACCCTAGCAATAGGATGCTCGCATTCAAGGTGGTTCTTCCCTCTTCAGTTCAGACTCTCTGGAAACTCCCTCACAGACATGCCCAGTGTCAAGTCTCCTAGGTAATTGTAAATCCAGCAAGTTGAGAATGAGGATTAACCATCACAACTACTCTATTTTTATGCTACTAAAAATTCATAACACATTCCTGGAAAACGGGACATTGAAAGTTTATCCATGACACAAAGCCAGTGACAAGTCCAGGGATGAAATGTATATCTCCTATGCCAATTTATAATACTAAGCAATGAAAAATAGTAAAACTGTAGGTATAGTGTTACATATTTTCTATGGCTACATTTGAGAGATGCTTGTTTACCTAGATGATAAAACAGATCACAATAGAATGTAATCAGTGTTAGTAGTAGTATAATAAAAGCAGAATCAAACTTTTCTTGTAATGGCACAATATTTTCAGTTTAGCTTAGTGTCTTGCTTTTGTAAGAGTTCAGAAGATGCAATTTCATTTTCCCATGTATTCCTTAGTTCCAACTCTCTTTCTGTTTCAGCACCACCAAATTATGCAGATGTGGTATCAGAGGAGGAATTCTCCAGACACATTCCTCCTTATCCTCAGCCCCCTGACTGTGAAGGAGAGGCGTGCTACCCTATGTTTGCCTGCATACAAGAATTCCGATTTCAGCCTCCACCTCTTTATTCAGAGGTAAACAAAGTGAAAGAAAATTAATCTCATTATGCCATCTGCAAATAACCATTTGCTCTCCTCTGTTCATTAAAGTGTCTGTTCCTGACTCATAATTAGTGGAGGATTCGTATAAACTTGCTTTTACAGTGGTGATAGATCATCACTGCCCTTTAGCACATTTCCAGTATTTTCCTTGTGATCTATGGCATGCATATGCAGTATGGTAGGTTGCCTCGAGGGTATTTTATGTGGCCACAGAGCACAGAGAAGAAGTTAACAGCCTGCAGCCTGCGAGGACTTAATGATAGGCAGCTTGGCCTGTAGCCATCTTGTAATTAGAAGTAGGTGGCAGAACCATGATGAGAAATGCCACTGCAGTGACCTCGGTCTTCTCTTTGTGCAGGTTGATCCACATCCTAGTGATGCAGAAGAGACCCAGCCTGTTTCCTTCATTCTGTGAGCAACTTCTAGAAATCACTGTTCGTTACCTAATCAGAATGTTGGTTCTTTCCCCTGCCTTTTTGGAGGACAAAGTGGGAGGCTTCACTTAAGAGCATAGACCACCCTCAAGACTGAAGATGGCAGAAAGTAAGAAATATGAGAACTTTCTAGAAGGCCAACAGGAGAATTATACAAGTTTATAGGATGGTCACGTGCCTGCCTTAAAAACCAAAAGAAGATTTGAAGTGAAAATCTGGAAGTCGTAATGATGGTAGAGTAAGTGAAGGCATGCCTGAGCTGCTGGAGTGAGGAATCTTAATGAGGGGAATGCTGCACAAGTGTTTCTGACCGGGGTTCGCACAGTAGAAAAGTGTCTCAAACCTCAGTTAATATGGATGCACTGTGAAAAGACTTGACTTGGGGAAACAAGACAGCATTGAAGTGAGCGTAAATAAGGAAAGGGCCTGTTCTAAATGTGAGTGAGACCCTTGGGTTTCAGGGTCTTCGTGATTTCTTACCATGTTATCATAGCAAGCATCAAGGTCCTTGGAAGAATCCTTTCTTGAGCTGGTGATCATGTGAGATCCTGATGTGAAGTGATAGAGTTCCCACTCCTTCACTAGGAGGATAAAAATGTACTTTATAAATGAGCTACACAGTATTGGGAATCCTAGAAGGGGTTCCTTAAAAGCTTGCTGCATCAGAAAGAAAAGCGTTTTCAGATGAAAGGTGTGCTTCGTGGAAGCCTTCACTTTCACCACCTTTAAGTACTTCTACAAGATGTATGTTTGATTTTTCCTCATATATCTAGGGAATATTGAAGAAAGAAGGGGTCAGCATTACATCTTTAGGATGCCTGATACCTACGAAAAGAAAAAAAAGGCATTTTCTTAACCTACCTCACTAGTGGGGTCATCAGACCTGCTCTAACTCTAGGCCTGATCTACCTTTGGAGTTTCTGCTGTTTGCATAGCAAACTTCTCCACTTGGCAGTCCGTCTGAAATTGGAACAAGGGAAAAGTCCATGAGCTTAGCATTGAATGAAAATAAACATATTAATACCTAACTATACTTTAAGTTCAAGATCAAATGAGGGTAGGAATACCTAAACTAAGTTCCTATTGGGCACCTTAAGTGGAGGAATGGCAGTTGTGGTATTATACATTCTTAGCCCAGTTCCTTAGGAATGTCATTTAAACTGTGATTTTTGTTTGTTTGTTTGTTTGTTTGTTTGGGTGCAATATTTTGTTGTCATTGTACCTCAGGCTATTCAGACCAATGGGATCGTGTTGCTGTTGGCAGTGGCGCCTGTTTGTCCCCTCCCCTCCTGTTCACTGTCCTGCTCATTTGTTTTGCCTCAAATCTGTTGGTTCCATGAGCTGAGAAGTTTTTTGACATGAGGTGAGAAGGAGATAGGATTCCATTCCCTCCATAGAAATTCTGGACCAGCCAAATCCTAAGGGTTTGATCAAGAAACCCTGGTGCTTCCCAGGAAAATACTGTACCACTCCTTGAACAATGATGAATTTATCTTTCATCACTAGAAAAGTCCTTCTAGAGTTTAATGTTATATTTAAAAGTCAGTGGACCTTTTGTTCAGGGATTTTTGTACAAGCATTAGGTTAAATGTATGCTTGTCTGTTCTAAGCATACCTTGTGATCATGTTAGCATCAACCATAGTAAGCCAGTTTAACACCACACCAAATGCTTTTACCAGTAACTATGTTACAGGAATTGTCACAAAACCTTATTTCTCATTTTGGTTATTAGAGGATTTTTTGGTTTTCTTTTTGTTGTTCTTTTTGTTGTAAATGCTATCTAGACAGTTTTTATTTTTACCGTAGAAAAGGTGATCTGCTGTTTCTTGGCTTCCAGGCAGTACTTTACATGCTGTGTCAAGACATGGTCCGTCTCCATGAAACCAAAACAAAGGGAGAGAAAGGAACAGTGTGGACAGAGAGAAAGCTGAACTCCTTGGCTCCTTGTGCAAAAGCCATGGCAGTCAGGTTGATTAGGGAAATCGTGAAGTCCCCCTGCAGAAGCAAAGCCGAGCTGGTGGTAGCACTTAAGAGAAGAGCTCTGAGTGTGACTCTGATGGGGTCTATCTGACCCTGAGCATATAGTCAAGATAGCCTTGGATGGATGAAAACCAACATTGAACAGAGAAGCCCTGTAAATGAAGATAAAAGATTAGCAGCAAGGACTTCCTGTTATTCCCCTCCTACTCTCATTTAGTTTGGGAAAAATAAAAAGTGGCCTTAGAATTTTCTTTTTGATGAAAAATTTAAAATTACAAGTGTGCGTCTTTCGGCACAAACAAATCTTCCCTTCCCTGGGCAGAACTTTACCTTATGTGTTTTTGTTTTGCACGATAAGAAACTCAGTACGCAAAGGTTATGTTTTTGATAAGTTCATGATCTTTTTTAATCTTATTAAAAATGTAACAGTTTAACCAAGGGGTAAGTCAAAGATTGTATTTTGTACTCTTGTTTGAACCCCATGGGTTCCTTTTGTTAATAAAATGGTTGTACTAATGCGAGTGGGTAGTTTTGTTCTTGTGTTGGCTTCAAAGAGTGTGATTTAAATCATTATAGACTTAAGAGAAATCAATACCAAGAACACAATGTTTTGTTAGTAAAATCATTTGTCTCTGCATGCGATCATGAGAAAGGCATGGCCATGAGAATTCTGGGCCTGTGTGCACGGTGGACTTACTATCCAGAGATAACCAGATTTTAGCATTCCATGAAGAAAAGTGATGAGGTTGCTTCAGCCTCATGAGTCCTCAGGAGAGTGTAGGTCCCATTATTCCAAGATGGCAGCAGCCCCAGTGTCCATGCGCCTGAATTTTAGTATTTGCTTAACCAGAATCTTCCCAGTAAGGACTTAGCAGGCCTGTGAGTTGTCAAGGACAAGTGACCAAAGCAAATCTCTCCTTCCATGCAAAAGAATGTGAATACAAACAGTATGCTACCAGGAGGTTGTGATGGTTATTTGTCTCAAGGAAGATACCTAGACCTTTGGTCTGGAACTGAATAACCGTTTCTAAGCAATAGAAACTGACTCGGTTCGTTTGTATCCACTTGGTTTTAATCTATGAGACCTTGTATCAGAGTCTTTGCATCCTTGTTGGTCATCAACACAAATTGAAATGCTTGTCGCATCGTGAATACTAAGGCAACACTTACAAGATTACCATTAAGATTTCTGTAGTTTGCATTGGAAAGTTGTGGGCTGTAAAATTTAGAACTAGGCCGGACACTCCTGGGAAACTAGGACACAGTCCTCAGGTTACCAATGAGAACATCAAAGCCCAGAGAGGAGGAACCTTAAAGCTTGGCCCACATTCTCTGTGAGGTCTCTGCCTGCTCTAAAATCTCTTGAGTCTACACCTTTAAAGAAGCTATGAAAACAGTCATTTCTTCAATTATACAGCTTAGAGGTTGCAGACCTGGATGCTAAGCATATGCTAAACCACGTCTGCATTGTTTGTATCCAAACCCTGCCTCCAGAAAGGACCCCAGTTGGCCTAAATTGCTTCCTAAGTATCTTTAATTGGTAGCCGGGAGATCTAACACGGAGATTTAAGACCTTTATATTTAAGAATAATTACAGACTCACAAGAAGTTACGAAAATAGTACACCAATGTCCTCTGTGCCCACCTCAGTCTCACCCCGTGCTATCACCTTACAAAATAAGGACAGCAGCCAAACCACAGCATTGACACCATACAGACAACCAGTTTTTGCATGCATTCTTTTTCTGCTTATATTTTTGCAAGTAGTTCTAGGACATGTTACAACACACGTAGGTTAATGTAATCACTTCCACAATCATGATTCAAAACTGCCCCATCATTACAAAGAAAGCACCTGGGGCTGCCTCCAGTCACACTTTTTCTCTAGCCTCCCCCCGACCCCCTATTACTCTGGTCTCCATCTCTATAATTTTGTCAGTTTTCAGAACGCTAGATACAGGCCCTTGTTCATACTGTGACTTCTTGAGTTTTGGGTTTTGTTTTTTTTCTTTCCACTGAGCAACTTAAGAGCCATACAAGTTACTGCCTTCATCAATAGTTTTTACCTTTGTATTTGAAATGAGGTGTTTACGGAGATTGACAATTACCTAAAACTTCATTTTGTGCTTTTTAAAGAAAATGTGTAACAATTCTGTACACATGATTCTTTCATAAACATTTTAGTTTGGGGTTTAAGAAGTATTTTTTATCTTGCAGAAAATACATAAATTCAAATTTACACAAACTTGCAGGGCTTGTCAAAGTACTTCAAGTATTTTATTTTGCTGATAAATAACAAACTGTGGCATCATAGATTAACATCTATGATAATCAGAGATATGTCTGATTATCAATTGGAAGAAGCTACATTTGGGTTATTTTTGTAGTCAAATTCTGAGTTTGATAAGTTATACAGGAAAGAGACTATGTTTACCTCGTGTGTTTATGCATTAAATTTTATGGGTTTTCTTCCTGTCTCTTTTTGTTGGTTTTTGAGACTCCCTGTAGTCACAGCGGGCCTGGAACTTGCTATGGAGACTCGCTGGCCTTGATCTGCCTGTCCTTGTATCCTGAGTGCTAGAATTAGAGGTTCATGTCTCCTTTTAACTCCTATCATTCACTGTCCCACTTCTTAATATCTAATGAGATAGAAAGCACATGTAAAGCTGATAAAAATATAACTACAAGTGTGTTTTTCTTAATATTATAAAGCAAAGGCTTACTTGCTGAGACTTAAGTGTTTTGGAGAGGAGAGCTCATATTTCACAGAAGCCATTGTATGATAGCCTAACAAGTTTTTCCTTAAAATTACACCTGAGTCTTTTGGTTACAGAAGAAATAAATTATATGTAGGTGGTGATGGGGATGGAAGGTAGATCAAAATTGTTGACTGTACCCATTTCCAGAATGTCACAGTGACTGAGTGTGCCACAAACTGTCTTTGTGGAGCTGTTTCCTTGTTCAGAAATGAGAGTTTCATTTCTTACCTATCCACATTTCAAGATGTCTTACATGGCAGGGAGAGACCTAGCTTAAGCAGCATTTCCCACTGGGAATCAGTAAAATGTCAGTGCCCTCTTCATATTTGGAAATGCCTCCTCCCACTTAATGCACATGCACACACATACACGCATACATACATACAGGGACATTGATACATGTGTGCATAGATCTACATACATGTACACTGGAAGATAGAATTTTGCTGACTCAGCTATACTCTTTGCCTCCAAGTCTAGATCTAATTCAGGTAGGAATGTAAACTTGGTAACAAAAGGAAGAATAGATTCTTACTTCCACAGGGGTTTACCAGAAGGGAAGCCATTTTCTATCAGCCTTTTTCCATTCTACCCCTAGACAGGAAAAAGGTTAGTAGAGAGCTATCAGAGAATTCTAGAATGAATAAATTGAGAACAAGCATCAAGTGCTAAGAATTTTTTTCTCTAAATACATTGAAAGCATTGTATAAGGTTTATTTCTCCTGGATCCATATCTCTATTAATGAAAAAGGACATGACATGTTCCATATCAAAATAATGACTGTATTATAACAACACACACATTAAGCATTTGCTCTTTGTAGATTAGCACTCATTTCACCATAATCTGAAGATGTCCTTATTTTATATTTTGTCTAACCACTTTAGATGTTAGAATCTATCTAATTTTTCATATATTAACTGCTCAATACATGAGCACTATTTGTTTTAGCTTTCACTAAATGTCTGGAGTTGTCTAAAATGGCTTGTTGATTTGATCAAATAAAGTATAAAGTTTTATAATCTATGGTTAATTAGCTTCAAAGAACCACATAAACGTACACGTATATACACACAATGCACAACTCCACATGTACACGCATACATGCATACAGATGCAGTTTCTTGGATAGAGGTTTTAGTCTGGAAAATTTATCAACAGTTGTATTGTTGATATACCTAGAGCTCTGTAGACTCTACAGTATTGATATCAGCCTATCCCACTGCTAGAAGGACACAAAGCATAAGCCGGATTTTCAGTAGCTGATGTACTTGGCAACAATAAACAGATAAAAGATAAGGACTCCTTCAGTAAAACAAATGCAAGTTTCTTGCACACCTCGATAGACTACTTCAATACAGAAAGCCAGAAGCAAAACCCTAACACTGATCCATGAAAGCCCAGGGCCTAACTGATATGGATCTAGGAACACATGAATCTATATAAGAGAAACTTCAGGTAGCTTTCTATTGGCTAGCTTTGCTATAGATCCACTTCAGCAGTTCTCAGGGCACGACAGTCTTGGAAAACAGCTTAGGAACCTAAAAACTATTGTAAATTTTTCTTTTGCCTGAACTGAACCAAGTTGATAAAGTATGGGTATGCATACACATGAGAGAAGTGATACTAAGCTAAAGTTGCTTTATCCTCCTTAGGATAAAGCCAACATTTCCTGATAAACCTCTTAAGAAAACAGATATCTACTGAGTTATTTAAAAGGAAACCTCAGTTCAACCATCTGCCCCCTTACATAAGTGCAGAATGCTGAGTACTAGAGAAATCCTAACAGCAAAAATCTACCTTTATCTTATCTGATATGACAAAATGCCTGGGTCCTGATGTCAGAAGATAAGTTATCGCCAATCTCCACTATGTGCTGATGTGAACACCAGCAGCTGATCCTCTAAGAGAGTGCGAGTGTTGCATCAGGTGCATGCCATGTTTTTCAGAAAACTAATCTCACTCTACCTGGAGGGGTTTTAAACCAACCAGCTCCTGAATTGTCATCTTCAAAACAAAACAAAAATGGTTCCCTCTGCTGATGGCAAGATATTTTAAACAATATCCATATTCAACAGGGAGACTTCTGATTGTCTCAGACATGTTCTGGATCATGCCACAGAATTCAAAAATGAAGAACTGTTGGTGGGAGCCAGGAAACCTGTCTGTTAACCTCTCTCCAGCCTTTGACAGCCAGTGACATTTTATCTGTAAACTTTCACCCTTAACCTGACTAGTTCCAGAATAAACTATACCTGAGAAATCTCCAAGACAGCTCCTGGGACCATTAGAATGGATCTTATTGCCCCAGGTGTACCCCAGCCTGAGCACCTGACCACAGACATTTCTTGGCTATAGCCACCCCGGGGCTCTATGACATACATGTAGGAGTAAGCTCGCCCTGGAGAAAATCCCTTCCTTGGGCTGTGGATATGAGACCTAGAACTTCAACTCTAACATCAGGAACCCCAGAGAAAGGAAGACACATAAATTAGAAGCAGCTGGCATCAGCCTGTGCCCAGAGTTCCAAAGATGAAGTAAGTATATTAAGAGGAGGTAGTTCCTTTGGTTTATGTGTACAAATGCTGGGGATTTTTCTTTACTTTTGCTCTTTAGTTGCTCCTGAAAGCTTGTGATTTAAGAACTAGATAGACCCAAAGCTGGAGCCTCTCTTATTGATTCAGGGTCCCAGTGCCCTATGCAGCAATTCTCTCCTCTTACCCATGTCTAAGACTCCTCTGATTTCACATTGAAATCCCCA